TGTTTTCCTTCGGTATTAAACCCAAACATATGGTAACCTGAGCCTGTTATTCCTGGTTGGTCCCTGCATCAGCAGTTCGACGCAGCTCCCCTCTGAAACGAATTCGTACAGAGCAGTCACCAAGTATGCAGCTGGTCAGAGAATGTGACAAAACACCCCAGTGTGTTTTGGGTACTGCCTTCCTCAGTGGCACAAGAAGTATCATCAAGCTAAAAAGCTCCTGGTGAATATAGCAGCCTTCAAGTAATCACCGCATACTAATATAGGCACAGATATTATCTCAAAGTCTCTGTCTCCTCAAGTTTAGTACGTCAGTGTTCCCTCTAAGCTGAGTCAGTGTGAGCTAGCTCAGAGTTTTTTAGCCTCCGGCTCACATATTTTTTGCCTTAGCTCAGGAAGGAGGGCTCCAGAGCAAACTAATTTATGCCATAGCCAAATGGCTCGCTCACAACTTTAATGCCAGTACCTCAGAAAGCAGAATTTTTGCTCACGGGACTCCACTGCTTAGAGGGAGCATTGCCATAGAAAGTGAGTTGAGTTGAAAGTGAGGCGAATCCTGACAGCCTACATTTATAACCAGGCTTCTTTAATGTCCTGTCACTATATACGAGATGCAAGCACATAACTGGATCCATAAATGGGTAGGGTAATATCTGTACGAGCATCGAACAGTATTCAAGACCAACTGGAAGAATTCTGCTCCGACGGAGCTCCGACGTAGGATGCTCTCTCTGCCCCTTGAGCTGTGTAGAACCTCAGAGTGGTGGTGGGAGTCTGTAACAAGGAATGCCCGCCCACCTGAAAGGCTTGACATCCGATCAAGGTGGTCCTTTTCTGAGGGCCCCTGGGCTACGTGCTGCTCCTTACAAGCTGAACAGTACAAGTTGGCACTTCCTGGTTGGTCACATGGTTTCTGGTGTACAAACTCGCCATGTGTGTGGCCCTTGCAAGGAACAATATGCACTGGCCGGTATAAAGAGTTTTAAAAAGATTTCCGTTGCGCTGTTTCCCCCACCCCCGATGATTCTGTATCCCCATGAGTGATTGCTGGTTTTCTAAAGGAAGTTGTAGAAGTCACATGCAAAGCCAGTACTTTGAGGGGAAAACCTTGGATGCACGATGAGAGCCAGTTTGGTGTCATGGTTAAGTGCGTGGACTCTAATCTGGGAGAACCGGGTTTGATTCCCCACTCCTCCACTTGCACCTGGCTGGATGACCTTGGGCAAGCCGTAGTTCTGATAAGAGCTCTTCTTGAAAAAAGAACAGTTTCTGTCAGAGCTCTCTCAGCCCCACCTCCCTCACAGGGTGTCCGTTGTGGGGAGGGGAAGGGAAAGGAGTTTGTAAGCCGCTCTGAGACACCTTTGGGTAGTGAAGGGCGGGGTATAAATCCAATCCATTCCTTGAGACACTTTGCAGTCAGAGCGCAGTGGGCAGCGAAAACACTAAAAGCCTCATTCCCTGTGAGCCTACTGCAAACATTCAGAATGCTGCAGGCTGAAACGGTCAGGTGAGAACCTCATTGGATTCCTGAGGTGGCAAGCGACCAGCTCCATGCGCCAAATGCATGTTTGTAACCCTTAGGAGCAAACAAATAGGTCACATGGAGATAGAACGCTCCCTTCGGTGGATGTATCATTTAGACCAGACCCAGGAATCGGTGCTGCTTGGTAGGATGTGAATCCAAACGTTAGTCTGATAAAACACAGAGAGTGGCTTTCAGCTGTGATAACTCGCCACCAGTGTTCCCTCTCAGCTGAGTTAGTGTGAGCTAGCTCACAGTTTTTTAGCCTCTGGCTCACACATTTTCATCTTAGTTCAGGAAAGATGGCTCCAGAGCAAACTAATTTATGCAGTGGCCAAATCGCTCGCTCACAACGTTAATGCCAGTAGCTCACAAAGTAGAATTTCTGCTCACAAGACTCCACAGCTTAGAGGGAGCATTGCTTGCCACCACTCCACCGAGCTGCTTTTAGTCCTGGTAG